TATACCAAGCATGTGCAGTTTACAGAATATACAATAATAATTATGTTGGTTAACCTTATGTGCTTTTCTCTTCTAGCTCAATTTTATATTAAGTCTTTCAACTTGATTTATTTTGATGTTTGAAAGACGAAGGGAGTGAAGAAACAGCATGATTGAGATTATATATCCTATCATGTACAAGACAGTTAATCTCTCTTTATTTCAAAAAGAAAAAAAGACAGTTAAATCTCCCAGGAACAACCAAAAAAAATTACCTACAGCATTGTTGCATATAAACAATATATACCAGCTTAATCACCCTTAATAACAAATCATAAAATTAACAAGCATACAACTGATACGAACCACTCAACTTTAAATTTGTTTCGGAGGGGACATTTCAGCAGAATAAGAATGCAGATTGCGTTCAGGAGCATACTGAGTAAGATCAACTACTATTTGTAAACTCACCCTTACAAGGGCCTTCCTCGTCAGAAGAAGAAGATGAATCTAAAAGATGAGACTTGTAAGCTACCAACAATTCCTCCACATCATCTTTGAACCTCGATATAAACTTCTCTATGAACTTCTCTTCTGTCAAAGCCACCAACTCCAAAAAACTCATGTTCCTTTTCAAAAACTCTTTCGACCTCAGAACCTGCAAAACCCTGTAACGAGGAAAGATTCTATCTTCCAAACTGTGCATCAAGCAGGCAGGTCTCCCAATTAACAGTTCCTTCTTAAACCCCATTATGTTCAAGAAGAATTCAATTCCCAACTTCAATTTATCCTCGGAGGCCATGAGGAGAAGAGGAGCCTTTCTAAACATCATCATGCTTTCATTCTCTGAAAAACCATAACTTCTAATCAACTCAAATTTTTTCTTCAAACTTTTTTCACTCAAGCAACTAATAGTATATACTGCATAGACGAGCATCCTTGAGTTAACTGAAAACCCCATATCCAAAGCACGAGAAACATTATCCCTAACAACAGAATCTGGCCTAACAAAGAGCCTGGGCTGCCTCCTCAACAGCCAAGCCAGCTGTGATCCAACAATACCACAACTATTTAAAAAGGCAATGTTGCGCGACAAAACCAATTCAGGATGTGCACAAACAAGCCAACTGCATCTCTTCAAAACCGGAATCAAGCCTTTATTACTTTTATCATTAAGTAAAACTTTCTTGAGAATCTCAACACAAGGAGCCAGTCTCCTATTTAAACTAAAACTCAAGACAGAAGAATTCTTGGAAATGAACTCAGCAAGATCAGAACCTACAAATCCTTCTTCTTGAAAGAACTGGATCTTTGGCTTAAGTGTCCTATCAATATCTGAGAGTAAGATTCTTGGTGCAACACGGACTGCGGATTGCATCTGTGTATTAGAGAACCCAAGCTTCTGAAGGAACTGAATCACAGATTTTGAATTTTCAGCGGATTTTTTGCAAGAATACTGATTAGAAGAGTAGTTTACCTTCGATGTTGAGAAACTCCAAGATCTGATTAAATAGTTGATCTTGAGATAATCTGTGCTTGAATTTGATAACAGTGCAGGGGAAGAGAGAAAGCCAAATGAGCTTTCGGAGTTCAAGTGAAGCTTGTTGGAAATTAAGTATTTTTTGAGAGTCTGCATTTTACTTCCTCATAGGTTTTTGGGAGAAAAGAAAGTAACGTTGGTTTATGGTTTCAACCAAACCATGAACCACTGTATCGTCAGACTGCCAACAGGAGCACGCCAGTCATCAAGATTGCACTGAACAAAATTAACCAACTCAATGAACCATACAAGATGTTTTCTCCAGAATCCAAGATAAAAATAAAGAGAATTGCTTGAGGGATCAAATTCTTGAAAGAC